GGGGGGGGGGCGCGCGGGGGCACAAGAGGGGAAAGGTGGGGTGCTGCTGGAGCTGCCGCGAAAAGCCCGTCGCAGGTGGGCTGCTGAGCATGGCTTGCGCTGTTGAGCATCCAGCACGGCTTGGCCGGCGAGCGGCGCCAGCAGGGCTGGTTCCTTCACGCCCGCCCCCATTCAATGCGCGCCTCACCTCCCATGTTCTCCACCTTCCACCTCCTATCTCCCTGTGGGCGCCAGACTCGGTATGCGGCGGCGGCGCCCCCGCCCCGAAGGTGCCCGCCGACGAGGTCACATCCGTTCGCGCCGCGCGCGCGCCCACACCCTCTGCGGCGACCGGCCCGCCGTCCCACACGCCCTCGGAGCAGCCCCAGCCCTCGGGCGCGGCGCCCGCATCCACCTTCTCGGGCGAGCCGCTCGGCTCCAGGCGCTGAGGCAAGGGGGCCGCAGCCCGCGGGGCGCATACAGAGCGAAGGCAGCCGACGGCTGGGCAAGCGGTCCCGAGTCGCAATGTTGAGCGGCCGGTGCAGTAGATTGGGCGCAGGCGTGGCTCTCATGCTGAGCTCAAGAGTTGCTCCTGGGGCTGCCCCCTGCAGATGCAGGACCATCGCAAGCATGCATTACATACAGGTCAAGTGTAATGCATCAGCAACCCTCGGCTGAATGAGAAGAGGGCTGACTTTGAGCTCAACATGGTTCAGGAGGGTTGGTGTATGTAGTTTGGGGGTTGGTATGCAGGAGTGAGGCCTGTCCTCAACTGCCAACTGCGCACGGCCGACAGCAATCAAAATTGGGTGCCACCTTCATGGCGCAGGCAGGCCAAGGGCGCGCTGTGCAGACGCAAGCGAGTGCTCACGTCAGGTTCCTACATTCCAACGTGCATCTCACCGTGGGGTCGCGTCTGCTGACTGGGACTGAGTGGCATGTGCAGGGGGCCGGCGGTCGTGCAACCGAGCCGACCCCCGCACCAACCCGCCCTCCCTCTTGCCTTCCAGCCTGATCTTCACGACCGCGGGGATGTTGAGAAAGCCTACCTGCTTTCCTGACTATATACGCCCTCCCAAGTGCAAAACGGCCAACGCCTGCCCACATCCCAGAATCGAGACAGGTTATTCAAGCAGATCTGGTAGTCCGTTTCCTGCGGCATCACTTTCGGAACCCCGAGCTCTGTGCTCGCTATCGTTCGGCCCGCTGTCTGAAGCCCGCTGCCAGCCCCTCCCCCCCTCGCCCTGAGGGCCCCACCTCGCGATGCAGTGCTTCAAGGCGCACGGCATGCAGGTGAGGGACAGTGCCATTATAACCGCTGTATGTGGCCTGCAGCTTGCCATCCCGCGGGCAGCGGGCTTACTGGTGGTGGTGCACTGCAACACTGATGCGCGCAGGCCCAGCTGGAGAGGAGCGCCGGTCGGGCCAGGCCGTGCGCGTCAGGTGAGAAAATATGCACATTATTTTCAGCAATCAACGGCGTTGCAGGACACAGCGTAGTGCAGCTCGTCGAGCTAGCACCCTTTCGGCTTGTGTGATCCAGCTGTGTTGCACGGCTGACGTCGGCCGGCAGAAATCATATCGGATTAGGCATTGGCATCCCAGTCTTGATGGGGCCAGCCGTCAGGGTGTGGCTGCACGGTGCACCCTGCGCGCGCGGCGCGCGCAGCGTCGCTGCATTGGCCGACGTCAATATGTAGGGCTTGCGCGGTGGCAGCAGCGATGGCGTCTGCGGCTGGGTTGGGCTGCACAATCAGTATTCCGCTGTTCATAAATACCCACATGCACGTATCGTTCATCTCCAGGCCGCTCGCAGCCGGTTGGCCGCCGCACACCGGTGCCTGTGCGCGCACAGCAGCAGCAGCAGCAGCAGCAGCAGCCGTCAGCGTCCTCTGCGCAGCCTGCGGCATCTGAGTACCGCCCCGAGACGCCGCTGACGTCTTGGGACAAGATCAGTGCTGAGGACATTGACTCATGGGACGAGCAGACCGGTCCCGCCACGCCCCTGCTGGACACGGTTGAGTACCCGGTGCACATCAAGAACTTCAACAGCCAGCAGCTCAAGCAGCTGTGCAAGGAGCTGCGCTCTGACGTGGTGCACACGGTCAGCCAGACGGGCGGGCACCTGAGCAGCAGCCTGGGCGTGGTGGAGCTGACGGTGGCGATGCACTACGTGTTCAACGCGCCCGACGACAAGATCATCTTTGACGTCGGCCACCAGTGCTACATCCACAAGATGCTGACCGGCCGCCGCAAGCAGATGCGCACCATCCGCCAGACCAACGGCCTCTCAGGTGCGGGCTGGAGCGGACGCGGAGCAGGGGTGCGTCGGCGCGAGGGACTACAGCATCCAGGGGCGAATGTGTCGAACGGGGCTGAGGCGCAGGGCAGCGTTCATGGCAGCTTCTCAGCCTGTGTAGGGTATTGGGAGACTCATCGTGCTGAACCAGCGAATCAGCACAGCAGCAATGGGCTTGTTTTCGGCAGACGGGGTCGCATCATCAACGGTTGAGGAGTGCAGGGACATGGTGCCAGCTGATGGCGGCGGGGGGTGTGCTGCCACCGCCGTGCTCAACTAGTGCGATAGTGAGGGGCGGCCTTGCATGTGACATCAGGCCGCATTTAAGCCCAGTAGTTGGTTGCACATCGTTCCCCCTGCCAACGCCCTGTAATCACCCGTGTTTTGGCCCCTGGGCATCCAGCATTGCCTCTCCTTCTCATTGTCCCTTCCCCCACACACAACCTCCCATGCGCACACTGGCCCGCCACCAGCCACCCACACATCCGCCTCCCCCAAACCCTGTCGCCCCCCAGGCTTCACCAAGCGCGCCGAGAGCGAGTACGACCCCTTTGGCGCGGGCCACAGCAGCACCAGCATCAGCGCGGGCCTGGGCATGGCCGTGGGCCGTGACATGAAGGGCAAGCGCAACCACGTGCTGGCCGTCATCGGCGACGGCGCCATCACGGGCGGCATGGCGTACGAGGCCATGAACCACGCAGGCTTCCTGGACAAGAACATGATCATCATCCTCAACGACAACCAGCAGGTGTCGCTGCCCACGCAGTACAACGGGAAGAACCAGGACCCCGTGGGCGCGCTGTCGTCGGCGCTGGCGCGCCTGCAGGCCAACCGGCCGCTGCGCGAGCTGCGCGAGGTGGCCAAGGGCATCAGCAAGCAGCTGCCGGCGCCGCTGCAGGTGGCCACCAGCAAGATCGACGAGTATGCGCGCGGCATGATCAGCGGTAGCGGGTCGACGCTGTTTGAGGAGCTGGGGCTGTACTACATCGGCCCCGTGGACGGCCACAACGTGGACGACCTCGTCGCGGTGCTGTCAGAGGTCAAGGCCGCGGAGACGGTGCGGTTTTGATCAAGGGGTTCTGAAGTGGGG